ATACATTTCCCTTAATTAAATCCTTTAATCTATTTTAATTAAATTAACGACATATTGGGTATATATGAGCGACTTATAGAAATGATAAAAAATGACTCAAATTGGGTATAATTTGACATTATGAATTTAACAGTGCATCTCATTAATTGTTAGATGCAGCGGCTGGAGAAGAAAACTTTTGAAATTGAGTCCCATCGGACTGTCGTAAAAGAGATACTTCGGGTCCTGCTAGATTCCAGAAGTTCCGCGAAGCAAATATGAAAGTTCTTATTCTCAGAAATTCCGTTTGAAACTATCTACGTTTTTGTTGTTCATCTGTAATATATTATTTTCTAAGAGAAGCTAGGTAAGAGAAATATGCGTATCATTCGAATGTGTACTTTTTATCGAGCTCTTAAACGCTTTCGCGGATGAATATAACTGGAAAATATTTGCCAACGATTACCTTTATTTGCGGATATTAATCACGGAATTGACTTAGTCGTTTACTCTCCTCGGGGCTGATCGTCGCTTGAGTTAGCTGGATAACGAGCGGCCCGTTGCGTGCTCAGAATAGTGTTGTACATCTGGGCGACGTACCCATCATCTCGAAAACCGGAACATGCAAAGGCAAATTAATTCCGAGCGTCCAGCTTTATGTTCATTACGTCGCCGGGCGACTTGTTGATAAATCATAAAGAATTTTCCGGGATAATATCGCGAACGTCGCAGGCGGATACGGACGGTGTGTTTTCTATTTGTCATTTGCATGCATGTGCGGTCCGCGATCGCGAACAACTCGAGGGGAAAATTTAATATGTCATGATTGCCTACGTTTTCAATGCCGGCAAATTCGCGACACCTAGCAAGCGTCATAGAGATCTCGGATTAGCGGAGAAAAACAAGACTATATACAAGAGAGAATAAATAATGTGCGAACGCGCTCAAGAAAGCAAAACTATGAGTTTTCGAAAGTAAAGCTCGAGAGGCTTATTTTCATAATTTACCCAATAAAAAGTGAAATTGCTGTGACGTTCGAGTTCTTCGTATCCCGTTTCATCCCGTACCATCGAAGTTCGCATTCAAAGTCACGTCCATGTCAAGATCTCGATCAATTGAATTGTTCAACGCCAGCCGATCGTCAATCTCGCGACGTATCGAACGCACAACTTGCCTCTGCGTCGCCGGACACACGTGAGTATTACGTCCTCAAGGTCGCCAGAGATTTAGTTTCAGGCTTTTAATTTTCTCGAGCATCGATAAGCCGACTTCGACGGTGGGATTTTTGTACCGCCCGGACTCAGGATCAGCTGCTATCTCTGATTAACGCCATTACGTAATAGCCATCGTCATAGACAGCCAGAAGATATCTTAGGCTACGCAGGTATATGTATTCTTGTGTACATAATTCTAGGCGAGCGAGCGCACTCGATCTCTGATCCTCGGACGCGAGTGCATGCATGCATGCGCGATGCGTGCACGCATGAGGACGTAGAGAAGCTGTCCAGAGATTTCCACGGAAAGTCACTTGAAAGAGGAGATTCGCCCGATTAATGTCTGAGAATTTTCATGTGACTTTCCCCGCGACACGACGTGAAACATTTCGGTGCAACTGCTGCGAAGATTTATGACCGGTTTTACCGTTATCTCATTTAACTTTAAGCTAGGTTTAACTCAACTTTCAGGAATGCGCTATTTTAATCCTAGAAGAAGGAAAAGTGTTTACGTAGACGACCCTAAGTATGTAATTATATGTTATCGCTGAAGAAGATTAGAAGACTAACCGGAACGTACGATTTCGAATTTGTATTGATTACACAGAAAAAAAATTTGCAGATTTTAAATAAATATTTATTCCAATATATATATAGTACTAACGAAATATTTACTAAATGTAAACACATATTTATTCGATTTAAACATAACTATTTTATTTCGAATAAATATTTATTTACTATAAATAAATATTTCGTACTATTGGAGTAAATATTTATTTTAAATCTGCAAATTTTTTTTTCAGTGTAATTATTGTTTATTCATCGGTCTTTTAATAAATTGATTTGTATATTAAGAAATTTTGAACGACTAGTGCATCTTGAACAGCGCCTATTCCCTCGAGTCCTTTTAATTTTTCTTTTGTACTTTTAAGTTAGGGAATCATTGACTTTCAAATTTTTGTTTACGTAAAATAAACACTTTTCCTTCTTTAAATTCAGAAACTACTTTTAAAAATGTGTTTTGAATCTAAATATCTAAAATTTAAATATTTATCTACCTTGAAAAACTAATTGGGCAATTATTCGCTAATGTATTGAGTCAAACGATTCAGAAGAAGACACAAATACCGATTCGTGGCTTGTAGAATAATCATTTAAGTCACGTGCTACGTACTATACAATCGTATGTAAAAAAACAGAAAAAAATGAGGGCAGGGAGTTCTAGAACGTATTACATTGAGAAGTTGTGGCTTTCAAAGTCATTTATTTATTAATCAGCGAAAAGTATACTTGATGCCCTATGCAAGATCGTGACAAGCGCGACGATCGAATCAGACATGCATATTCAATGTTACACATTCAATGTAAATACGATTAATGCACGCGAGATATTCCGATCGATATACAAATATGAATGTACATTATAACGCGATGAAATATATATATATATATTCATATCTACATCAAAACTTTATACCGCAATAAAAATTTTTTTCATTTTCTTATTATCCCACGTAATACACTTTATCCAAGAGACGTCCTGGAAATGTTCTTAGGACGTTCAGAGGACATAGAGATGTTCTTTGGATGCCTTAAGGATGTCCCTTAAAGATCTGTGCTGTATAAAATATTTTGTAAAGTAATATGATTTAAAAAACGAATCTTAACTTTATAAAAAATTTTGATATTATGTAGAAATCACATCTCTTTTATAAGAAGAATTATGAATAAAATTACATAACTTACAATAAAATAAATCATTAAGCAACAATTATCAAATTTAAAATTTATCAAAGAAATAAATAATATTTATGTAATATTATATATTGAAACAATCAGAATAATGACGAAAGGTTTTCTTTCGAACCAGTTTGATAGCTGGCATCGATTGAATTTGCTTTGAAAGATAAATTATATTGATTGACTTGACTTTATTTGAGAACTTCAATTAAAGCGCACAAAAAATCTATTAAAAATAATTAATCTTGTTATTTATTCGCAACGAAAATGCTTTACTATCGGGTTCCGAAAGTAAGTTTCGCAGAAAGTTTCGGAAGATGATTACAGTATTTCAGAAATTTTATGAAGATCATTACGACCCGGAACAAAGACAATCACCTTTCGTGGCACGACCCTGACTACCATGAGGTTGTGTTATTTTACTTTCAGCATTTCGTTCTAATTTTAGAAAAACACGCTTCAACCACTAAGACCGGAAATATAGGTTCACGGAAAGCAGAACGTGTAAAATAAGGCTCTATGTTACTGCATCGGAAGCGCGAAGATATTTCATAAGTTGAACGGACACAAATAAAATGCTTATGTAATGCTACTTCGGGCATCATTTAATATTTAAATTGCATTCAAGTAACCAAGTATATATACGTCATAATTCACAATTTAATATAGATAATTTTAATTATAAAACCGGTATATTGCATTAAGTATACCATACAATACAAATTTCATAGAGCTTGTATTAAATTTTAGTATTTACTTCTATTATACTTTTATAAATTATTAATTTATTGCAGATAATTTATATTAGCAAAATTTAGATTAGTAGAAAAGTATTTTTTTCACGATGTTTGAACATTCAACTTAAACTAAAATAAACCTTAAAATAAGACGTTATCTTAAACCTCGTTTTAAGAATTAGCAGAGAAAGAATTTACTGTTATTTGTGTATCCTGAAGATTATTTTATTAAAGATTATATATATTTCCTGAAGATTATTTTACTAAAATATTTCAAAGTTGTAAGTTTAAAATTCAATGAAAGAGAAGTACGCTCCACTTTTGTCGAACCCGAACCATAGCTTCCTGAGGCTCAATAGGAGCCTCATAAAATGCGCGTGTGCGATAATGATAAGTTCGCAATAACGGCACATATGCCGATTTCTACGGCATCCAAATTCCCATGACATATGTCACGTACGATCTTACGTCACGAAAGTAATTCATTCACTCGTTTGTACATAAGGGGTTCATGCACGCACATACGCATACACGCGCATCTACACACGTGCAATTCACATAGAATTGTAAAAAAGAAAATAAATTCATCCTGGACAGAAAATTGCAATCTGTGCATTCTCTACCGATACTCCCACCTACAGACTCCTACACGTGCTTTCTCTCTCTCTCTCTCTCTCTCTCTCTCTCTCTCTCTCTCTCTCTCACTTTCTCTCCTTTTCAAGAAAAAAAGGAAGATCTTACCTCTCGTAACAGTATCCCGGTATCCCGTTCTTTTACGAACGCAATGGCGATAACCCGCCCTCGCGTTCGCTTCTTTGCTTTGATGACGATCGGTGGAAAAGCAAGAAGAGATGATTTCCACGATGAGAGGCTGGCGAGGAATAGTCAAGTCACTCACGGAGGATTTTTCGCGCTATATTAATCGAAGGTCGTTCGATCACTCGCGATCGATTAAAGGGGAGGAGGGGGAGTGTAGCTGATCCGACCGACGAGAAGAAAAGGGTTGCGCCGCGCGCGTGCGCACGCTTGATCGTTATCCGCGACTGCTATCGCGCGCGATTCGCTTGATCGCGAGGATTGAATGACTTACAAGAGATCGGTGGCGCGAAAGATACGATCTATCGCAGCCTGAGGCCGAGTTAGGACTGTGGACTCTGACAGGCCGCGACTCCGCTCTCTCGCTCGCGAGGGCCAAGCCTACCGACTCACACTCCGCTTCTCTCCTGATGCCGGCTACGCGACAACGACCCCACCATCGTGGCTCCTGGTGCACGCCTGGTAGCGCTCAAGCGGAGTGGTAGGAGCAGCTACACCGCTCCGCTTCGTCCCGCGTCGAACCACGCCGGTCGCTCTCCTCTTGGTGAACCGGCGGAATCGGCGTGACGGAATCGCCAAGACACCCGATGGTTGTGTCTCTCGCGACTCAATCAAGGGAAGTGTGAGTGTACGCGTATTGCATGTGCGAATGTGTAGTAGTGCCAGGTGTTTTGAGTATACTCAATGAACTCATGAGGACTGGTATTTTCAGCGACGTCTACCATTTTGCGGATGTCCAACAGAAGTTCATTGAATTCTTATCTATCAGTTACGACAGACGTATGTATTTTACCTGTGTGTATTTATATATGTTGTGTGTTACAAGTAACGGAATATTTGAGATTAATTGAATTAAATTTATTCTATTAAAGATTCTGAGATTATTCTATTAAAAATATTTGTTCGAGATTTAATTTAATTAAATTTATTCCATTAATTTTATATATAAAATTGAGATTATTCCATTGTAAATATCTGCTATCTGCTTAAACGAATATTTACATATAACAATTCAATTGAATCTATTCCGTCGAGATTAAACTTGCGACCATTCTATTGCAAATATTTGCTTTAACAAATATTTTTTAACGATTATATATAATGAAATTAAATTTATTTAATTAATTTTAAATTTGAGAAATCATTCTACTAAAAATATTTAATATCTAAGAGGAACTTTTACCAGTTATCTATATAGCGTTACCTAGAGTCGTAATAGATGCTTGACTGTAGCTGATAGCCGTTACTACAAACTGAGGAGAGACAGAGTAGTTTTCTTCCGGGTAATTTTACCTGACAGTGAGATGGGTGAGAGAAGTTCCGTGAACTTTAACTAATATTAATTTATCCTCTGTGTCTTTTACATTTTTTCATTGAGAGGAAATGGTAGACCATTTAAATCAGCATTAATTAATATATAGGTAATTGAAATATAAAACGAGGAATTTATTCAAGTAAAGTTTTTGTCGATAAGATTTAAAACATCATTCATTTAAAAATACGTCTTCTATTAATCTCTTTTAATATATTACAGAAATTTTTTCTCGACTGTCATCGATATGAGAAGTGCAAATTTTGGAGAAAATATCTAATATCAATATATCTATAATAAACATCTTTAATTTAATATAATATTTATTTTGAGATTTCTGGAGTTACAGGATAAGTACAGTTATATAATCGCTGCGTAACTTTGTAACAGGATATCGCGTAGTATCTTGTACCGAAGACAAGCAAAAGCAAAACATATACATTTAAAGGAATTTAATTAATCTCGGTTTGTGATAAAACGATTCATAAAATATGTAATTTTAGATCGATTTTTTCAGAATCTAATTATTAATAAATTACTACGGTGATCAACATTTAATCACAATGTATATTTACCTGTCGTGTTAAATTATAATTTGATATTATATCATTGATATTCCAAGCTAAATTTATTCTGATATATAATAGAACTTCCATCGGGCAAATTTCACACTTATATGTATCTATTTATTAAACATTTATTCATGAATTCCTACGATATTATATAAAAAACTAATTACTAAAACATTATATATGAAATATCAATAAATTTAGTCTGAATTTTTTGTGTGTGACCTAAAATCTTGAAGAAATAAGCGTGCTTTTATACTATCTTGAATTTAATCAATCAATTCACACACCGAGGTTATGAGAACTTAATTGCTTTTTCATTGCCAACTACTTGTTATCTCGTATTCAGAAGTAATAATAAAATCTCGGAAGAGAGTAAACTATAAGATTGCAGGAAGAGTCATCACTTATTAATGAATTTAATAGTGAAACATACAGGGTATCCGATAAGTTTTAACAAAGCGCTCTTATGTAGATAGAACGAACTAAGCTAAGTCGAAAAGTCTTCTATCATTTTGCAATTTTCGCAATAGTGAACGAGATATTAATTTATCTAAAGATTGTCGAATAAGTGGGGTAAAGTCGACGCATAAGACAATTTTAAGATTTCTTTCAGAGCTTTTTGCGAAATATCTTAAAGATGTTTTTTTTAGAGAACTTTTAAATCTCAAAATTATTTTATGCGTTAATTTTAGACATTCTGCTCATTGGGTAACTAAAAAAATTGCGAAAATTGCGAAGTGATAGAAGACTTTTCAACTTACACAGTTTAGTATAATCGCTCCATATACACATGAGCGTTTTGTCAAAATTTACCGGATACCCTATACGTTTAAATTTAATATATGTGTGAAATATTTTTAAAAAGTTTCAAACTTTTTATGTTAATCAATTAATAAAAAAACATATAAATAGTTTTAGAACTTTTGATTAAAAGAAGCCACTAAATCTGAATTATCAATCAATGATATTATCATTTGGCTCATATTGTATCAATTACTTACACCTTTGATAAATATTAATTATATTTCGCGTGGTATCATAAAATTGATTCTTAAAATTGCTATAAGTACTGCTAGAATTGATGTATTTTATCAAAGGTTAAATTCCTCTTAAATGGAAAATTGTGTGTTCGATATCTTTTCCTTTAATTTAAGAAGACGCTTGCTACTAGGAAGCCGGCTTGCTTCAAGATTTTACGATAACAGTTCCAGAAATGAATCGGGTTTTGAATTATCTGTAGAGTTAACGTTTTAGAAAAGCATTTAGATAATCTCCAGGAGCATTATGTGATTTTGTCTCGTAAATGCACTGATGCGGTACGAAAGATCTATTATCCTGCAATCAGGGACTTTCATGATATTCCGGATCTTTCACTCTGCAGTAAGGTCACGACTTATTACAATGGTCCGATGACTCCGACGGTTAAGCTATCGAGAAGCGTCCTCGAAGAAGATAAAGACTGATTCACGTTGTATAAACAGCAGGAAATAGGCGTTGCATTTTGACAATGAAAAATGTTAATACGTATGCTAATGAGTACGCGATACAAAACGGTAACGAAACGGCTAATGTGAAGACTTCGGTTTCCGTGCTTGAGAAACTCGTAAGCGAGTCCATAAACAAAATTATTTTAATTCTTTACTAATTATGTAACTGACGTAATTCGAGAGAGAGAGAGAGAAATGTAAAAATATATAAAAATAATAGAAAAATTGAGCATAAAAGCAGGAGAAGCATAAGAAAGTTGATACAGAAATAATTATTATTATGTTGAAATGCCCTTTATTCAATTTTCTTAGTGCAATTAAAGATAATATAGACTATAGCATATAAAAGAACGTAAAGCAATAAAATGTAAGCAGTAAGCGAATCGACTAAACAGTAAAGACGTACAGATATGGCAATAACATAAGTATAGCAAATCTAAAATGTTAATTTTCTTATTATTTAGTTTTTTGTGTGCCAGTTACTTCTGAATATTTAACGCATCATGCATCGTTATATAACAATTATCTATTTGCTGAAGAAAAATGACACATTTTTTTCCAATACGCTACACAATGAATGACTACAGGCGATTCTCAGAAATTTTTTTCTATCTTTGATGTACAATATTATCAGTGCGTTTACAACGAATAGATAACACAAATCATAGAACACAAAAACTTCACTAAGCGCCGCCTTAAAATGACCTCGATTGAAATCTCTCGGGCAATACAGGTGAATGCGTGGGGTCCCCTCATCGGTCACACGTACCACAATGAGTCAGTCATAGCCGTATATTTTTTGACCTAGAAAAAGATTCTCAAGAGGTGCAGCATGGATAGACAAAATGAAAAAAATCGAACAACGAATAAAGTCAAACTAAAATGATTTGACGCGATCATTGCCGCCAACATAAACGTGGCCATTACGGATTAGCAATTAGGATCGTAATACAGATTGAAGATCGTCCAAGTCATTAAGAAAATGTTGCCGTTTATTTCACACGATTCTATATATATATTTTTTTTTAAGTAAAGGAAAATGAGCGATATGTGAAATATGAAACAGAATCTCAACGCCAACATGAAGGAACCTAAGATGCGTTTGTCTAACTATTCCTATACTGTTTGGAAAATGTATTTAATACTTTATTCAGCATTGTATACAGGCAGTCGTTGACTGTCTAAACATATTATTTGTCTGTCATACTTAGTGTTAACGCTGGTCTAATCTCACGGGTAGAAGTGCGTCCTCAAGGATGTATTTAAGAGGCTCGTTACTTCAATAGAGCTGTCAAGAGTATCGCTCAATTATGGCTAGCCAGTGGCTCTTTTCGAGATAGGATATTATGGAATGTCAATGGTTAAGGCCAAACTGTCACATGTTATTATATCGTCATCAATATGTTCTGTCATACGTCAAATTTATAAATACAATAAAACTTACGCAGCATTTTCTTAGAAGAATTATGTGTTAATTAAAAACCAATTTAATTTACAACAGCAATGGTTTTATTATAAAATTGTAGCTGCTTAAAGTTTAAATTAAAAATGTGTTATTTAAATATTTAAAAAGGTTTTTGTTAAGATTAACCGAAAATAGTTAATTGTTCAAAATATCGAATGGAAAAGCATTAAGACAGAAAGTAAGTTTCAAACCGACTTTCGAAATTGTGCTTGATGATTAAAAAATTGTTTGACTGTTTGATGATGGGTTAGCATCAGTATTCGCAATAAGAAACAGGAATAAAGTAGGAATGAGAAGAGGGCCTCGGTTTCGAGGAATGTAATGAGGTAACTCGTGTTGCAACTCAATCTGTCGTATGCAGTCTTTTACGTATAGATGGGATTTATAATCGCAGTATTCCCATTAGTCACGGATCACCAAGGGTTGCCGCGTACAATCGCTCGTGCTAACAACTTCGCGCGCACGATAACGAGCTACGCAAGTACGTTAGTCGCCTATTCGTGCGACTGTATCTTCTTTTTTCTTGTTGCAGTCAATAGCAGCATGAGTAGCACGACTAATGGTCAACTCACGTTAGTAAATAGCCACGACTGTCTTCCGCAAATCTCCATCCAGCTCAGAGTTTCTTTTCCAACAACATCTCCATTTACAAATCGAAACGCGTGGCTAAGTGAGAATGAAATTATTCTTTGATAATATCGCTTAAACTAATCTCTCTTGTCTCTCTTCCAGTTATTATTATCAGACTCCTGCAGACAGACATGTTACGCCAGTTACGTGATTTCACATCAAGTCTGGCTCAGAAAGTCGCCGGTGTGGAGACACCTTCATCCTTGGAGAGAAAGACAGGAGCCACTTAAATAGAGTCACAGTAACTCTATAACATAAGCGTGCCAGTTGGTGGCAAATTTGCGGATGCGTGCAATTGGCATTGCCTATGCCCAGCTCTGTATATGCGTCCACCTATATATTGGTAGACCGCCGACCGGCGGTCCAATCGACAGCTATGAAGCAGTTAACTTAATATAGACGCACTCGGAATGTGTGCCATCGGCGACCTCGAGGCCTTCCCTAGGTCAGTGCTAATTCTCGAGAACGGACCGCATCTTCCAAATTTCCGGTCGGCCTTGAAGGTATCGTCAGTGCGGACGAAACCCGATTGGGCCTGTATATTTGCTCACTTCCTTCTATTAGGTAGTAAATATGTACATAAAATAATATGTAAATGACGTCTCGCGCATGTTTTTGCATAATACATTTCGTAGAATATCTTTTCTGTATAATTTATTGTTCTACATTGCATAATTTTATTTTAAAAGAATCACATCAATTTGCTCTGAACAGATAATAATTTAGATAATTGTAATATCATTTGACATGTCGCGTTATATTTAAAAGAGAAATAGAATCTTTTCTCGCTCTTGGAACTAACGAGAATAAAAATATAAAGAAGTTGAATACGTTACAATGACTTGAATTTACATTGCTCTTCATATTTCTAATTTTTAAATGTCTATATTTAATGCGGTATTTGTGAAACAGAAGAGATAGTTAAAATTAAATATTAAATTTGTTGTATTGCAAAACTGGCTTGGCAGATTTATCATCAATACTACAGTCTTTGATAAATATAAAGATAGTGACCATTTTCAGCGCTTTCACTACAACACAGGTTTGCTGTGTTTAATTTGAAATGCACATGCGAAACGCGATAACGATATTCGCTGTAATGTAGCGGTTGTTGCGATGTTATCAATACGAAAAAACCTAAAAGAATGCTAATGATATCCGGAAATTATTTCGAATTCTTAAAAAATGCTATCTGATAGAAAAATACATGTATGCATATAATATTGAATACATTACGCCGAACAAGCTGCAGCTCTGTTCAACAGAAAAACAAACAAAAGAGTGTGACGACACTGTATGGACAATCGGCGTAAAATACATCGTCCCTGAACATAAATAAATTTTTTTGCCTTAAAGACTGGTCATTGAAAGTGTCGGATTGTTAACGGTATAAAAAAAATTTGCATTTTGTTGACTCTTACATTTTATCTTGTCAATTGAAAGCGCAAACAAGTTAATGTTGGTTCAAGAATGTATATGCAAAAAGGTAATAAAATGCATACGTGTAAATGCATATTATGCATAAACAAAAGTTACATTGTTCATCGGAAGTATGAATCGTACGAGTAACAAACAATCACGCAATCACAGTGATATTTTCTTCAGATTATTTTCAAAACAAAAACACGATTCTTGATTCTATCAGTTTGAATTAATCTGACGTAATCTCTGGATAATTAATATAAATGTATTCGATTGTGTAGAATGTTGAAGGAAGAAACAATAAAAAGAAAAATAAACAATAAAATTTCAGCATTTGTGCACTAAAATATTGCTACTTACTATATGATATATATTGTTGCTAATTATTTTATTAATGCAGTGCAAACTGAAGGACAAAGTTAAGCAACATTTGAAAGTTACTATTGCAGAGTATAATTATCTGAAATGTTCATTTAAAAATAATTTCTCTGAGAAAGAAAGACTAATACTGTAATAATATTTTTTATATTTTTTTTATATTCTTTTTATATTCTTTCTCTGCAATTCGGATTATTTTATTAGCTGCGCTAAATCCAAATGATTACTTTATCTTGCCTGAACTCGCGAGCAATTTCTGACGGCAATATCGAGACAATCATTTGTTTTTTAACGACAGTGACCTTCAATTGGCTAATAACTATATTTGTTTGCAATCGCTGATCAATATTAATAATGTCAGTAGCACAAAAAAACGGAGGCATGTAATAATATATTAGATAACCAAATGATAGTCAATCGAATTAAACGATAGCGTTTACTCAGGTCTATATCGATGAACATTTCGCATCAACGAGTAGTTAATCGTTTCGATAAATACTCCACGCTCGGCGCTGATTTTGAGGCAAAAGAAAATGTGTTATGCATTAATTATTAGCATAGCAGTTTGCGCTTTACGAATCTGTCGCAACAGCAGCGTATGCGACAATGATATTTACACGAGGCGGATATACCGGTGCAAGTATATGTCCGTGGTATTAGTTCCGTTATCCATCTCCCACGTAACGCAACGCGACAGACACCGGCACTCGTACCCGTGTCGCGTTGTTCTCGCTGTTGTTATACCCGGTGACGCTACCAACGCGGATTGATGTTTGCGTAGCGTGTCATTTCTCTCGCGAGGATACCCGTCAATTACGGAGCACGCGCGTATCACCGTTACGCTGGGCTGCGTAACGCATTTATACTTAACGTGCGTATGACGTGCGTTACTCTAGTTAACGCGCGTTAAATAAATGCGTGTGATTACGTAGCAAAAAGATCGTGCGATAAACCCACGAAGAAGTAAGCTTCCTACGATGGGTTCTTCGGCGGCAAAACGGCCCCTAGATAATTTAATTTAATTTAATTTAGTGTATATTTAAACACACATACACTGAAAAAAGATTGGCTGCTGCAGCAAATTAGATGGTAAAATATGGCATAGCATTTTTAATTGGTTACATCAGTCAATTTTTGGTTGTGTTAGCCTATCGAAATCCTATACTGATATTGCGGATAGATTAACGCAACCAAAAATTGACTGATGTAACCAATTAAAAATGCTATGCCATATTTTACCATCTAATTTGCTGAAACAGCCAATCTTTTTTTTCAGTGTACACACACACTTTAAAAAATTATATCCAAGTATGCAAATATGAGTAAATACACAAATGGTTAGACACCAGCAACACTGCTGTTACAACGCTTATCAGAATAATAAAAAATTAAAGAATAAAATAAAACAGTATACCTATAACACATAACTACAACTGAATTCATTAAATATTTGATATTGAGCCTCCAGATTGTTTGTTTTAAATTGTTTAAAAGAGGGACACTAATAATATTATAAGAAATAATTATATAATAATACACTGAAAAAAAAGATTGGCTGCTGCAGCAAATTAGATGGTAAAATATGGCATAGCATTTTTAATTGGTTGCAGCAGCCAATTTTTGATTGCGTTAGCCTATCGAAATCCTATACTGACATTGCGGATAGGCTAACGCAATCAAAAATTAGCTGCTGCAGCCAATTAAAAATACTATGCCATATTTAACCATCTAATTTGCTGCAGCAGTCAATCTTTTTTTTCCGTGTAGAGGAGAAGGTGATATTATATGGCCAGTGTACATATTTTGGCCTCCCTTAGTGGGTGTCTTTCAACAAGCAACACAGTGGGGCACAATGATCATGTCATCTTTGTTTAACATTAGTAAACAACAAGGATGTAATGATCCATTGTGTCACACCGTGTCATTTGTGTCGCTTGTTGAAAGACACACAATATTTCCGCTATTATATAGCGAATCCTAATGATTACTTATGGAATTATTAGTTCGGTAGCTCACCGTTACACCATGACGCTAATATTACCAATACTCAATAGCCAGCACTTATTATAATGCATTTTTACTTTCAAGTATTTCGAAACGTTTCTGAGGTGGATTTTAGCATTTAATTACACCTACTTCCCCTCATTTTTCTTAAGCTTGAGCGTACTATCACATGAATATATGTATTTTTGAGTGTTATTTGCTATTTAACATTTTATTTGACTGTATATATTTTTAGTTATGCAAATTTAAACAATATCATAACATTTTGCTAATGTGGCCATCTATGGATATTGATTACTCACGACCTCTTTTTTGAAATTTTCATATTAAAATAATTATTTGATAATCGATTCTATAGCTCTACGGTTAACCTACAGTTTATATTACATGTACTATTTTTAGTACTGAGCAGCCTATATGCAGAAGTCATGTGAATGTATATACATTCATTTGCATATATTTTAAAATGTTTGACTTTTTTGTTAATTTTGTAACCAAATACTGTTTTCTAAACAAAATTAATATTTTAAGGCAATTTTGATGAAAGGCCACATTAACATCCATTGTTTTCTTCGAGTCATTATGCAATGTCGCCACATTTTTATTAATAGTATCCTAAGTAATAAATATTTCGTAACTTTGAATCCAGAATCGATTTAACAACATTTTAACGAATGTAATTGTCAAGTTTTGAACTTAAATATTGATTATTAACAAAGTTATTGTGTAAAATGTAACTGGGGTGTCATAATTCACCCACCTTCTCCTCTATTAAACGTCTAGGGGCCGCTTAAAGCGAACGCGAAACAGTTACGTTACAAAATGTCCCAATTTAATCGCTTCTTTAGAGTAATCGTAGGAGAAGTTGTCATTAATCATTTCATAATAAAATGCAAATCTGCATAATAACGTCGGTTAATCTCAGGTCAGCGAGTGTTGTACTTTTTCAAGCGCTAAGAGGATCGCTCATTCGGCACAGCAGCATCACGATCTCACATGACCGCATTAAGTAATGCCTCACCTGACCAACGTTTCGTGACGTGAGTCATTCGCACCTCAGGGATTTCCGATCACCTGCTAACGAGAAAGTAGCGCGTCACGGTTCAAAGTAGAATCGGCATCTCTCGATATCCTGGATGCTCTCAGTTTTCGCCTTCTCACGAACGAACGGTCGTCAGGCGATCGAGCTCGATGTGCTCTCGCACGTGACAGTCCAGTGACGAGGAGATCGCAAATTACATCCCCGACTTTTTGCTAGCGAACGTAATCTAGCCGCGTTCTCTGAAGACCTTGGAAGCAAGCCCTCTGATTTGCGAACGTTTTGTGTGCGGGATTAATCATCACACATCTGCGATTAATTCGCTATTACGGTTGTCACGCATCATTGCTGCTACGCGTGACAACCTGACCTATAATGCGACACGAT